CTATCAGTGACCTTTCGTACTCTATCTGGGACCTATGAGCGTAGGATCGTATGTTATTGTTGGTCTCGAGAAATGTTTTCAGTGCCAAGCACGTCTCAGGCGACTTTCTGCCAAGCATGGATCTGGTATCCTTGTAAGCTTGCCATGCTTCCCTACGCAGGCGCTTCAAAGACGATGGAGGGTTTGACTTCCAGGGGGGTTTCATTGGTCTAGTGTCGTGCATCCTTCTTGGAACGTGTCGGTCTATGAGTGGGTTCAAGATGGACAGCAATTTTGTGAATGCTTCGTGCGAGGAAAGCTGTGAGAATTCTGTTCCCCAGTCAATGCCCTCCAGCTCCGCATTGATCAGTGATCACTCCATAGTGGCCACGATGCCACAGCACTCTGCAGTGGCCCTTCAAGGCTGCCTCTCTGTCTACATCAAAGACATAATCACAGTGGATGCTACAATGATCACAGCCTGGTGGAGGCGCGTGGACTTGAACCGCTCCTAACCTATCCACCTCAGAAGTTAACAACAGATCGAGTATGTTGCCTGATCTTGGAAAGGTGCTCTCAAATATCCATTGTGTGAGACCTATTGTGTTAAATGTGTCAATAAACATTCTCTCGACTGCTGAATGTGTGGTTTCAGTATGTGTTGGGGACCATGTGATGGAAGGCAGGTTGAAATCCCCAAGTATGACAACCTCCTTGTCTGCACAACTGTGGAGAATAAAGTCTGCCAGAATCTGATTCTGAGCGTGAGAGTTAGAAGGGGGCCTGTACACCACATATACATAGATATCACAATCTGCTAGTCTCAGCAAAAGACAGTTGTCTTGGGAGGAATCTACCTGGTCAACCTTGAAAGATTCTCGGACATACATGCACACTCCATGCTTAGGCGTGCTTCCTGAGTCATTACGGAAAAGCAAATAACCAGGGATAGCTATAGTGGCATCCGATACTAGTGGTGTAAGATGGGTTTCAGTTATCAGTAAAAGATCGGTCTGAAATGGATCAATAAGAAAGTCTGGCAGTAGTCCGACCTTACTGCTTAAAGGTAGTGTGCCAGCTTTCTTGGGCCGTATGGAGTTAATGGCCCAGATAAGGAGAACCGGATTTTTAGAACTTATCCATACCTTCAAAACTCATGGAAACGTCTTAAATTCTTCAAATTTTGAGTACCCCAGTGCGAAATTCGCCCCGACGGGTTGTCGGTCGTACCCCAACCACATTTCACACCACTATGAACAATAAATGCACACACTGAAATCGCTATTACCGATATGTTCATCCAATCAAGTTTCGATAAACCCGTTCATCATCATCTCCATCGGTTTCGAACACGCCTGTTAGGTGGCTTCTGGGCCCTGTTTCACCGGTGATAGCAGCAAGCTGCTATCACGTTTCGCGAGCTGACGTCATGTCGTGACGCCATACTGTTGTCGTAATGGGTAGTTCCGGCGCACGATTGCCGCGACCTTGGCGGCGGCATTAAGTGACGTATGAGCCTAAAAGTAAGAGTTTACGCAGTCATGATAGTATATATATTTTTGATATATATATTTTTTCAATATGATGTATTTAAAAGAAGTTGGGTTTAGGAAAAATTTGGACATTAACTTCGAACATTTAGCTGATGACGTAAAACAATATTGCGGCAATCGTGCGCCAGAATTGCCCCTTACGTCAGCAGTATGACGTCATCACATTACGTCAGCTCGCGCAATTTGAGAGCAGCGTGCTGCTATCACCGGTGAAACAGGGCCCAGATGCTCGTCGAGGTCGGAATTTCCAAATACGCGTGGTGCGTCGGGCCGCGCGCTCTGACTTCGGCCAAGAAAAATGCGTCAGCTGATCATTGTCATTTCTGCCACTTGCGTGTGGTGAAATGGGGTCATAACTTATAAGACGGCTTTTTCATATCAATTATTTTACATAAAATCATATTTCAAACCATAAATAATGTTCGACAGCCAAATAAAAGAAACAATACCAATACGGGCTTACAGTTTAAGGCTCGACATTGTGTTGTCTACGATTAGACAGCTGATAACTCATTCCCGTACGTCGTATGGTCGTAACACTATAATGACCTTTGCTTATTGTCACAAGTGCGCCGCATTCGCGATTGTTGCCCGACGCCTGTTTGCAGGTGAGCCCACTACAGTTGTTTTACATATCTAAAAACCGAAAAACTTTTAGGCGAAAAAGGCACTATTCCAGGCCCATTTTTGATTTTTTTTGCGATATTAGGTAAAAACAGAAGCTTCTTATCCTAGGAAAAATAAAATGGGAAATCTTTCAAAGGTGGCACACTACCTTTAAGCCATTCACATTGCAACATGCTATTTGTACTGTATATGTCCGCCGAGCTTCACCTTTCCAAATCAGTTTCCCTCGCGTTCTGGAAGGGGGAACCTTTGCCCATCAACACGGTTCCCCGGGTCGGCGCCCGGCGCTGCACAAGCTGCATGCGAGGGGTCGGCCGTGGCTGGAACAGGTGATCAACAGGCCCATTGCTCCAACACTACCACAAGTGTGACGTCAGCTCGCGCAATTTGATAGCAGCGTGGTAGCAGCGTCCCGTGAAACACCGCCCTGGATAAATGGTGGTTTCTGAGCCTGGCCGCAAACTTGGCTATCTCAACTCAAAACTAATGTTAAGGTGGGAGGGTCCCTTTAAAGGGACCCTCCCACCTTCAAAAAAGTTAAAGGGACCCTCCCACCTTCAAAAAAGTTAATGAATTGGCACGAAAGTGATGTCGCTCGGTTCAGAAAGAGCGAAAACGAATATCTACCAAATTTCATCGAAAAATATTCACCGGTTTTCAAGATATTAGACTTTTACTTTTGTTTACTTTTTGGGATCTCCGCTGTTCCTAGCGACTTTATTTGAAAGTGCGGCATTTGTTGCGCGCAAAGCAGCATATACCACCGCGTGCTACCAAACGTTTTAGTAAAAGATTTAAAAATCGTTAGATCACTGCTGACGTCACAAATTCTAAGGGGGCATACCAATGCACTAGCCCCTTAGAATCCGAAAACTGCAAGTTTGAAATTCCATATCTCCGAATTAAAGCATTTGTCGATGTTGTGAGTGCCCAAACCGGTATTTGCAGGCCATGGCCACCAATTTGGCTATCTCAACTCAAAACTAATGTTAAGGTGGGAGTGTCCCTTTAATGAATTGGCACGAAAGTGATGTCGCTCGGTTCAGAAAGAGCGAAAACGAATATCTACCAAATTTCATCGAAAAATATTCACCGGTTTTCAAGATATTAGACTTTTACTTTTGTTTACTTTTTGGGATCTCCGCTGTTCCTAGCGACTTTATTTGAAAGTGCGGCATTTGTTGCGCGCAATGCAGCATATACCACCGCGTGCTACCAAACGTTTTAGTATAAGATTTAAAAATCGTTAGATCTCCGCTGACGTCACAAATTCTAAGGGGGCATACCAATGCACTAACCCCTTAGAATCCGAAAACTCCAAGTTTGAAATTCCATATCTCCGAATTAAAGCATTTGTCGATGATGTGAGTGCCCAAACCGGTATTTGCAGGCCATGGCCACCAATTTGGCTATCTCAACTCAAAACTAATGTTAAGGTGGGAGTGTCCCTTTAAAAGTGTTCTGGAGGTGTTAGGTAGATTAGTTAAAAAGTTGTGGTTACAGTTTTTTTCTCTTTCGTTGATAGAGTCTCTCTTTAAGTTTGTAAACAAATTGTGTTTTCATTACCATTAGCACCTATATCTATATATGGCCTTGAAACTGATTTTGTAACAGCACATCAGGGAAAGCGACACCAAGTCAATTTTTGATCATGCAAAATACTTAGTCCCTTACAAGAAATATAATGCCTTTTACATGTGGTTTTGAACTGAAATAGCAGTTTTGTTGCTTGAGCTGAAATAAGCACAAGTCAGGGTATTAGCAGAGCAGACGTCACACGAAGGTTTTCCAACCAAAGAGAGGCGCCATACCCGGTGGTGCTTCTTTCTAGGAAAACCTAAACAAACCTAACCTAACCTGACCTAACCTACAACCTACAACCTACAAACCTACAACCTAAGAAATTCGTGTAAATATATCAAGAAATGAAGAGTCTTAGAGACTTTTCATAAATGGGTGGCAGCATGTGAGACCTGCTATAAGAATGCCAAAATGTTTCTGTTCAGAAGAATGTGAAGAATGCACACGTGGCAGAGGCCAATGGCCAGCCAATCAGCATGCAGTCTGAGTTGGTCGGGGATTTGGTATATGCATAATCATCTTCTGCTGCAAACATCACCTATCTGGCCTCTACCAAAGATGGAAAGTAGCAAAAATGGTTTTTCCAATATAAAAACATGTAAATATCATTTTTTAATATTATCTTTTCTGATCATTTTGAAGGAATTATGCCACTTTCAATATTGGGTTTTGAACTAGAATAGCAGTTTTGTAGCTTGACCTCAGAGCTGGGACTAGCACAATTCTGAAGCTTTTACACTCCAATGATCACCCTGGCAAAAGATGTATCAATTTTAGTTAAGAAATAATTCCCTCATGGAGGAATGCAGCGCCTAATGGGATATCAAAAAATGCCACCACCTCTGTCACAGGTCAATCGTCAGCCAATCAGCATGCAATTGGTTTTAAACTACCAAATACCAATGCATATGATTGGTCGATGCTTGGTAAGCTTCTGTGAAAACACTATTTAGCCTCTACAAATGATGAAAAATACTTCTTCATATGTAAAAATGTTTTAAAATCCTTTTATAATTATTAGGTATTTTCTCTTCTGATCATTTTCAGCATAAAAGTAATATAACTGTAGCAATAAACAACTTTGGGGATAGTTTTGTAACCCCTTTAAATAAATACCTACTAATTGTGCGGTTTATGTGCTTATATTCCAGCTTTTTAGTACTTTCTTGACTAAACCATCTTCAAAGGTCCCTATAGAACAGGCATAGAGCTTTTATTGTAACCATGGCATTATATTTCAAGTAACTGTTGTTTTTGGTTTACAGAGTACTGAAGAGTTCCGAAGCAAGAAATGGCAAGACATAGAGATAATTCCGCGTGGTGTGGAGCCATCAACTGCTCCAATTCCAAGCTTCGAAACCCAGAACTGTCATTTCATCGTATCCCAAGTGATGGTGTCAGGTAAGAAATAACATTGTTTTCAATACCTACTAGTCTTTGTAGTGTATGAGTGTGCTACCAATTCCCTTATTTTTAGTGCAATGAATGATCTGCATTGTTTAGGCCCGGGATGCGGAGTCGGAGTCGGTCGGAGTAAACAAGTGTGACCGGGAGTCGAGTCGGGGTCGGTTTCGGAAACCGGAGCCGGAGACGGAGTCGGATTCACCGAAAATCAATCGACTCCGCAGCCCTGCTAGGTGGTCGGAGTCGGAGTTGGAGTCAGTCGGAGTCGACAGTCTTGCCCGGAGTCGGAGCCGGAGTTAGTTTTTGAAAGCAAGAGTCATAGTCCGAGCTGTCGAAAATCCATCGACTACACAGTCTTGGTTTAGGTTCAACATGTATTATGATGCAGGCCTTCACTACTAAATTGGTTATCCTAAAGCTTGTAACTAGCTTACTTTTTAAGCTGTAGTCTGAACTGGTATATCAGAAACCCTCTTGCAACACTGTCTACCAGCTGGACTTAGCATAGTTCCACAGCCCCCACTATGGGGTCAGTAAAAAAAAAAAACGGTCAAATGTTTTCAGATTATAATGTAGAACCCCGCAGATTATGAGTATTGGTAAGAAAATATTACCAAGAAAATTTTAGCCTCGTAGCATGACATCTTCAGAGCACCGTACGTTATCCGCATCGGTGTCAGGCGTTGCAGTCCCCAATGGTGGAGCGCGGCTGCAGGCGGTGCCTAACACCAGGTGGCGTGAGACCTGTCCTCCGTCCACTGTTCGAGCTAATAGACGGTGTTTTATGGTGATGAACAACGCATTTTGCTGTCTTCTACACCTTAAAGTTTGCGCCCCTACCATCTAGCCTCAAACACATCCTCCAACCTGACAGCGATACAGTAAACAGTAACACTGCCGATTGTTTTTATTTGTCAACATCGGCAGTGTTCACTGTACCGCTGTCAAGTTGGAGGATTGGTTGGAGGTTAGACGCAAAAACTTTCAGATGTAAGAGAAAGCGAAAATGCGCCGTTTATCACCATAAAACACCGTCTATTAGCTCGAACAGTGGACGGAGGACAGGTCTCACGTCGCCTGGTGTTAGGCACCGCCCATAGCCACGCTCCACCATTGGGGACTGCGACGCCTGACACCTTCGATAAGTTTGTCACCTTCGATAACTTCCTGTCAGTACCTATATCACGCATGTTATGATTTGCTTCCAGATGCTGGAAATGGGTGCAAAGCAGTAGAAGGACTGATCTCTTGGACAAGTCAGTTGAGTTTCTATACATGAACATCAAGTTCTGCTCTCTACACTTTGAGCCATCACAGTACCACCGAAACAGCAAGCGTCTCCGAAGAGATGCAGTTCCAACTCTTTTTGACTTTCCAAATGCGCCCAAGCAAGTTACTCCAAAAAGACCTCTGAGTGCCAAACCAGAGACAAACACAAATCTGAGAACAGACAAAAACACAACAAAACCAGAGGGTGAGTAGTTTTAGGGTAAAGGACTAAAAGTATTATTGGCATCAATGACTCATGCGTATTTTGTGCAGGCTTTTAAATATAGCAATTTAATCTTCTGTTCATTTTGACTGGGTCACAATTATCCGGTCTTGCTGAAAGGATTTCTGATCGATTTTAAATTATTTGTGGTCTACGGGAAATTTTATGAATGATATGTCGGATGTTAACATTTTTCTTGTGTTCAATACTTCCTGGGTATGTTGCAGCATAACACACAAGGCTTTCTTTATTTGCCCAGTTTTTTGGTGTAAGAATAGATACCTAATTGAATCCCCCTGAATCCTGACATAATATCCCATTCGAACATTTTACCATTAAACTTGAATGTAAATATCCCTCATCCATGCAATGTAAAAATGATAAATTCATATAAGTTATGTATCTTTTTCACAGAAGCTCCTGGCCGTAGCTGGAGTGACTTTGAGGACATGGTTGTAAATGAAGATCCCGATAGCCCAGAGAGTGGTGACGAAAATCGGCCGCCGATCCCAGCTGTACGGGCAACCAGCGGCTCCAACCACTACAGGTGTGCAGTGAGACGCTTGAAGAAGCAAAATCGACAGCTGAGAAGGGCCCTCAGAGCTGCCCGAAAGGTAACATCAGCGCAGTCCGTGTTGGAAAAGGCAAGTTTGTATCTCAACCCAAGGCAGCTGGCATTTTTCAAAATGCAGTTGGACCTGTCCTCATGTGCAGTGCGTGACAGACGATTCACGGATGAGCAGATCATAGAGTGTCGGGCACTGTACGACCAGGGGCCCCGGGCCTATCGTTATCTAAGAAAGCAGTTTGTGTTGCCAAGCCCTAGGAGTCTGACGAAGCATTGAATCCATTTGCTGCCCGGCCCGATGTCATTCAGATTAGGCCATTTTTCGGAAGCAGACGACTGCTGTATGGGGGTGCAGATGACCATGTGAGGCTAGGCTCAGTATCTTTCGATAAAATGCAGCTCCGTCGCAAACTGGCGTACGAACACGGAGACGACGCCATCAAAGGCATAAAGGCCGCTGGGGGCAGTGCCAGGAAACCAGAGAGAAACGTGTAGAGTGCGATCGGGAAATGCTTTACCTACGCACCTGAAGACTGCGTGTAGACTTGGACATTGGCAGCCTCATGGAGCCTTGGAGCCACGACCCGGCGACCGTCCCGCACCTAACCCTCGCCGATGGCCGGCCGCGTGCGTGGCTCGCTAAGTTTCTGGTGCTAACCCGGCCAGCGGCTAGGAGGCGACCGTGTGTGATTCACACAACGATACGATGCACGGCTGGACAACAGCTTGATGTGTGGGAAAATGGAAAGGTGTTTTGCAATAAAATGAGTCAAGTGTTTTGTCAGGTGTTTTAACCAAATGTGTTATGAAATGAATTTGTGAGTGGAGTGGTGTCGATGCTTTGTGTGCTTGTTCACACATTCGCCCCAGCTGTTACCGGATATCAATATTACAGAGCTGTGAATATTACAGTTTGTTCCCCACCTCCACTTTTACCGACGCTTTCCAGATAGGTTTGAACTTTACAGCGAATTTCGTATTGTAGGTGAAGTTATGCCAGCCGTGCTCCAACCAGCTACGAACCAGTCTCCGTTCCGAGGGCCCAATGCCGGTCTGCAAGTGTTTGCAAGACTGCAGCCTGCAAGACGCTATCCTCTGCAATCACCACGTAAGCCTCCGTGGGCCATGCCGTGATCTGATGGCCCTCCAACGGCCATAGGCTCTAATGCCGGTCTCCAGCGGACCGCGTTGGCTCGGCTCCTTAGATACCTCACACTTTTAACTCTGGAGTCTGGGGACGCCGGTATTAATGTGCCAGTGAACGATGACATTGGTAGTGATTCGCATCGATGGACCGATATACCAGCGCCGTTTAAATGCAAAGACTGACGTTTCAGTGAGTAAACATAAGAAAGTGGAGCCTTTAGAACATTACAACACAGGCTGTGGGTTGGTATGTTGTAGGTTGGGTATTGTTCACAACAGGTCTGACTGCATTCATATGTGCCACAACTCATGCTATGAATATGCCACAGCAGAAATTGTAGGTTGTAGGTTTGTAGGGATCATCTATGCGATTTGTCATTTCATGTTGTCATTTTCATTTATATTGTCACCGCTTTATCAATCTGTTACCTGTTGTCAATTGCGCGTCAAGTTTGTTTGTTATTTGTAAACCGGCCTGCCGCTGGCCTCAACCCTCCTAGTAACCGCTGTGCCATACGCTATAGAACGTGTCGTGCAAAGGTCACGGCGGCACCCCTGAGGCGGCCGCTGCCCGTACGTTTAGGAGCCCATTGTCGTGACGTCATGACTGTGAACAAAGGTCGCGGTAGGGGCTCTCCCGGCAGCCGGACGGTGACTCATACGTTAAGCTTGTCTCTCGCCGCGCCTGCGGGCATATTGGTAGTACTAGGGACGGCCAGCATGTGACCGCGGTTTTCGGCGACATTGTCAATTCGTTTCTCGACTCTGCTGTTCGCTACAAGACAAATACACATAGAAAACGGCTCGGGCATTTGGAGAAGAGCGGCTACTCTGAGGCGAAGGAAGAACACGGAGATTCACACAAACGACCTGACTAGGTTGCACCGGCCACAGTCGACCGAGGTGGGCTTCTGCGCCCTTAAAGACGCCTCTGACTGGCCATTGCGCTGACACCCTGATCGGACCACGGTCATTGATCGGACCCTGCCACTGGTTCGTGCTCAGGCTGCCTTAGCGGGTAGACCTGCTCGACCAGACGCCCACTGGTGGGCGAGTGCTCGGTTCCGACTTTCACCGCCGGTCCAACAGCGTTCTGCTGGTTCCCGCCGATCCGGTTACGACACCGCAAGTGCCGTACCGACTCGGGCGTCCCAGGTGGGCGTAACGGTTACCACACCAGTTCGCGACCCCCAGGCTCTGTCAGCCGTCGTACGGCTCTCGGACGGACACTCTAATAGATCAGCCACAGATCAATAGGTTGTCACAGACCGTCCGTCCAGCCACGCGCTACCCACAGCGCAGTACGACATTGGTGACCCCGACGTGATTTCCGTTGTTCAACCTTAGCCTCTCGTCATGCCGGCGGACAGCGCACAGTCCGGCGCCGCAGCTCAAGACCCAGCCAACGTTCCAGCTTCAGCCTCCGAGTCAACTCATCGGCCCATGGCTAGCTTCCGGCTACCACCATACTCTCCGGAAGAGCCCGACCTGTGGCTACTGCAGGTGCAGTGCGCTTTCGACGTCAGCGGGGTCGACTCCGACGAGCTGAGGTTTAAGCTCCTCGTCGCAAACCTCCCCGCCAACATCGCCGTCCAGGTCAAGGACGTCATCCGGTCATCTCGGTCCTTTGACGTGCTGTGTGCGGCGCTCCAAGCCCGCCTGGCACAGTCACGCGCCGACCGACTACAAGCCCTGCTCGGCCGCCAACAGCTCGGCGATCAGAAGCCGACGGCGCTGTTGCGTTCAATGCGCAACGAGCTAGCCGCAGCCGGGGACGCCCCGGTTGATACGGAGCTCTTCCGTACCCTCTTTCAACAACGGCTACCGCAGCCCGTCCGTGCTGCCCTCGCCCTCCTGCCAGCCGACAGCACGCTTGACGCACTGGCAGAAGCGGCCGACCGGTATCTGGAAGCTAGCGGACCGGACCCACGGCTATCAGCGATCGCGGCACAGCCGTACACACAGCCGGCACCGCCCATCCCTGCTGCAGTGACAGCCCCAGCGCCAGCTGCAACCCCTGCGCTGGACACCGTCATCGCCTCCCTGGTCGCTAAGATGGAGCGCCTGGAGGCCAGCAACCGACGACTCGAGGACGCCGTGCGGCGCGACCGCAGCCGTTCCCGGCCGCGCCAAGCGTCTCGCCAGTCACGCCGCCCGTCACCGGCTCGTCCTTCAACGCCGCCGCACGACGACACGCTGTGTTGGTACCACCAGCGATTCGGCGCCCAAGCGCGCCGATGCAAGTTGCCGTGCTCCTGGATCGCCTCGGAAAACTGAGGCGCCCCGTGCTGATGGCGCAAAGCACGGGCGCCCCTCCTGCCGCGCCACTCCTCTTCGTGAGGGACACGGAGACGGACCGGCAATTTCTAGTCGACACCGGGGCGCAGGTCAGCGTGCTGCCTCGCCGCTGCCTGCCCAACGGGTCTACGCTGACCCCTGCTCCTGTCGGCCAGCAGCTCGTCGCGGCAAACGGCTCACCGATCGCGGTGCACGGCACCTGCCTGCTGGACGTCTCCTTGAGTCAGCAGCACCGCCTGAAACATCGATTCTTCGTCACTGACGTCACCACACCCATCTTGGGCACCGACTTCCTGGCCGCACATCACCTCGTCGTGGACGTTGCCAACCAGCGTCTCCTGCGGGACGGCACCGTCTGCGCCAGCGCCGAGCGGTCAAGGCTGTGCTCCATCGGAGTGCGTCTCGTCCGGGAGCAGGCTGCTGCTCGCTTCGCAGCTGTCCTCGCCCGGTACCCGGATGTGACCTCACCAAAACCTGGACCAACACCGGTGAAGCACAACGTGACGCACCACATCGTCACCAAGGGTCCACCGGTGTACCAGCGGCCACGACGCCTCCCGCTGGAGCGCCTTCAAATCGCACGTGCCGAGTTCAACAAGATGCTCCAGCAAGGCACCATTCGACCGTCCAGCAGCAGCAACAGCGGCAACAGCAGCAGCAGCAGCAGCAACAGCAGCAACAGCAGCAGCAACAGCAGCAGCAGCAGCAGCAGAGGCAACAGCAGCAATACCGGCTCCTCACTGCGGCTTCCCGGCGAGTTCTTCATGAGCAGCCAAGCCTCAGCAGCATCACCGGCCGGTTTCGTACAGGACCTGAAGCGCGCCATGTCTCAGGTGCGGCCGACACTCCCACGTCCGGTCCAGCGCGCCACGTACGTCCCGACGGCACTCCAGACGGCGACACACGTCTTCGTGCGCAGGGACTGTCACCGCTACCCGCTGGACGCTCCATACGACGGACCGTTCCCGGTTACCGAAAGGACCACCAAAACCATCACCATCGACCGTCGACAGAAAAAGGAGGTCATCAGCATCGACCGGTGTAAGGCCGCCTTCCTGGAGACGCCAGACGAATCCGGTCATCGACAGTCTGACCTGCCGACTGTGCGGCCGCACGGTACTCAGTCCAGCGGCCCGCCGGCCGCGCCACCGCTCAGCAATGAGCCCAGCGGCCAGGAGCTTCTGATCTACGGTGACGCACCAACTCGCCCTGCAGCCGTCGCTCGGGCTGACGCTGCACCATTGCAGCCTCGGCCGATACTACGAACGACCCGCTCCGGCCGCGTCATACGACCTCCGGTAAGATATCGCCATGTCACTTTTGTCCGCGACATGTCTGGCGAGGGGGTACTGTAGGGATCATCTATGCGATTTGTCATTTCATGTTGTCATTTTCATTTATATTGTCACCGCTTTATCAATCTGTTACCTGTTGTCAATTGCGCGTCAAGTTTGTTTGTTATTTGTAAACCGGCCTGCCGCTGGCCTCAACCCTCCTAGTAACCGCTGTGCCATACGCTATAGAACGTGTCGTGCAAAGGTCACGGCGGCACCCCTGAGGCGGCCGCTGCCCGTACGTTTAGGAGCCCATTGTCGTGACGTCATGACTGTGAACAAAGGTCGCGGTAGGGGCTCTCCCGGCAGCCGGACGGTGACTCATACGTTAAGCTTGTCTCTCGCCGCGCCTGCGGGCATATTGGTAGTACTAGGGACGGCCAGCATGTGACCGCGGTTTTCGGCGACATTGTCAATTCGTTTCTCGACTCTGCTGTTCGCTACAAGACAAATACACATAGAAAACGGCTCGGGCATTTGGAGAAGAGCGGCTACTCTGAGGCGAAGGAAGAACACGGAGATTCACACAAACGACCTGACTAGGTTGCACCGGCCACAGTCGACCGAGGTGGGCTTCTGCGCCCTTAAAGACGCCTCTGACTGGCCATTGCGCTGACACCCTGATCGGACCACGGTCATTGATCGGACCCTGCCACTGGTTCGTGCTCAGGCTGCCTTAGCGGGTAGACCTGCTCGACCAGACGCCCACTGGTGGGCGAGTGCTCGGTTCCGACTTTCACCGCCGGTCCAACAGCGTTCTGCTGGTTCCCGCCGATCCGGTTACGACACCGCAAGTGCCGTACCGACTCGGGCGTCCCAGGTGGGCGTAACGGTTACCACACCAGTTCGCGACCCCCAGGCTCTGTCAGCCGTCGTACGGCTCTCGGACGGACACTCTAATAGATCAGCCACAGATCAATAGGTTGTCACAGACCGTCCGTCCAGCCACGCGCTACCCACAGCGCAGTACGACAGGTTAAAGTTCGGTAGGTTGTAGATTAGTAGGAAAGTAGGTAACATTAGGTCAGGCATAGACCTCTGTACACCAGCACACCAGGTGTACAGAGGTCTATGGGTCAGGTTAGATTATGTGGTACATGTGTAGATGAAGTATGGTTAGTTAGTTGATGGCTTGTAGGCTTTAGGTTGGTAGGTTCAAGGCTGTAGGTTTGTAGGTTGTAGGTTGGAAGGTTCTAGGTTGTAGCTCAGTAGGTAAGGTTAGGTCTGAGGTCAGGTTAGATTATGTTTTTTATCTTCACTGTGCTTCATCTACACATTTACTGAACAGGTAGTGAATATGTTTGGTTCATATATTTGCACCATATTTAAGTACTTATCATGTGTGGTTTTAAGATGTCAAATAATCGAAGACTATGAAAAATTTGTGCTTGAAAAGTGAACAAGACTTTTTGAGAACATTTACTGTGAGTTGGTAGGTTGGTATTTTTTAATTAAATTAAGTCCAAACCTTTTGATAGGAAGGATTCACAGGGACAGAGCCACCGCTAAGCAAAGCTTGTTGCGGTGACCCTGCCCTCTACCCTCCAATTGCACAATTCCAGTTCTATGGCAGAATTTAGAGTCCAAAGGTTTACATGCGCACACAGCCACCCACGGATGGTCCCCTCACTGACTTTGCCTGGCTACAGCCTGCCACCAACCGTAACCATACCGGTCAGGAGGCCCATAAATGTCACACGCCAGTCGCATTTCAAACCCGGACTGCTATAACCGTGGACCGTGCATGCTCTCACCAGTCTGCTGAGCTATGGGACAGGCAATTTTGTAGGTTGGTAGGCTAGTATGTAAGGTTAGGTCAGGTTAGATTTTATCTTCACTCCAACTCAACACTTTTACCCAAATTTCTCCTCCAGTAGATTAAATAGGTACCTAAAAGTCACATGTTTCATTTGAAGCTTAGGATTAACTTAGCGCCACTCTCACTCTATATTTTAATCCACCTTTAACGTCTTCTTTTCAATGTCATTTCATCCTATCGAAGGTTCCAGAAGCAAGACAGTAGGTACCTAGTAACACAAACTGATGCCTACTGAAGTATAGGTAACAGTTCAGGGAAAGTGAAGCATGTGCTTACCCTTGAGCCGCTCTAGTAAACCAGTTTTCTATATAGGTATATAGGGCCTTGCCAGTTTTCTTCCACCGTACAGCCAGTCCAGCTATTGAAGCTGCTTACCGAGAAGCATAAACTCTATCACGGTACCCACAAAATGCTTCACTTTGCTTACAAAGTTTAGAAATAATAACATAAAAACTCAGCGTTTTCAAAAATGTCGCGTTTTAGCGCCCTGCGTCACTAATTATCTGAGGGCTGTTCACGGACGCTGTGTGCGGTCGGACCGCACACAGCCTCCAAGCTCCGCCCACTGCGTCCCTACGTCAGCCTTGCGTCACCGCACACAGCGACCGCTGTGGCCGGTCGGGACTGGCCACAGCGGACCGTCCACCGCACGCAGCCGTGACGTCAGAGCCGCCTACCCATCCCCTACCCCCACGCCTGCTGGACGTACCGCACACACCGCACGCAGCAGTGTGCGGTGCCCGTGAACACCCCTCTGCTTTTCATCATTATGATCACAAAGAAGACCTGTCTCGTAGTTGCCATGACAACTGGACCATTTCATTGACTTTTCTGTTATTTTTCAAACAATTCTGCATTATTTTTTACTTCTGACATATAACTTTTATACGGAAAATATCAAGAAAGCAATAGAACTCAGTAAATTACTTATTATGTATCTTACGTAATGTTTCGAATGCGTAAACACGCTAGCGAACAGTCATTTTTTTTCGCAGAGATATGCAACCCCTAAATAATAATTGCCAACAAACTCATCGATTGAACATTGCCACAGCTGGCTATAGCATTCATTGTCAGCTTCGGCTTTTGAAAATGCTTATTCTTGGATTCATCATTAGGCTAAAAAGAAAGATTCATGACGGACCTAAATCATCCGCGAGCGAGATACCGTCAGGTCTATTAGCGAAGTAATGAGCAATCTCATCTGCGTATTTGGAAATTTCGACCTCGACGAGCGTCTGAAGTAGAAAACAACTACTTTGGTAGGGAAACTACTGCTGTCTGCTACCATTGAGTAGTAATCTTGCTACCATTTTCACTGCATGTGTCGCTACACTTTGCGACATCTAGGCCGCCTCCGCGCACCAACCGTCCGGCGCGGGATATCCGCCCCTAGGCCCTCCCGGAGGCTTTTCATAAAAAGCGAAAATCCTGCGGTGCGTAGCATTGCTGACATTGGTGTGACATCACTTAACTCTTTTTGCACTAAGTCATCAGAGCAATTGTAGATGATTGAGCTATTTGGAAGACTCAGGATGTGGTAAGCTTATAGGTACCTACAATTGGCATACATCAAAGTTGTTATATCGATGGCTGAGGTCAGGCCATTTTTCCCCTCCTCATTACCTTAAAGTCAATGGTCATAAGTCAATGGCTTGGCGCCATTGCCATGAGTCAATGGCGGAACAATCAACTGTTATTTTTGCACTGAAATGTAACACCTGTAAGGCCATATGACATCATCAAACAAAGCTCGCCAAACTTTTTTGCAATTTGCTTATAACTGCGTGAGCAGCACTGCGCCCCGCCAATGTGTAGCGGCGCGGTGGCGCAAACGTAAATAACTAATAAGTGCGCAAATGTGACGCGTGTGTCTTGAGTATAATATTGTGCCCACCTCATTCGTTTCACCTGACTCGGCAGCCATTAAAAGCCATTTTCGGATGGATCGGCTTGCCACGATAAGTACAATACAATACAACTCCTCACGGAAAAAAGGCACAGCCTCGCGAATGGTCTCATGTGTTCAGCGCTGAGCTCGTCAACACCCATCGAATGATATACCTACATGACATTGAGGTCAAGCTTTGACCCTGACCTGTACAGGTCATAACAAAATATTTCGGTGCGCATTGACCAATGGATCACAATTGTACTATTGGTTTTCTCCTAGCTTGATCACTACACAAGTTGTTCACGAAAAAAAGCTAGACTTCTAGTGCCACTATTTATATGTGACGTCATTTCTTTACCTGACCTGAAAATGACCCCTGTAATCGCTAGCTTGCTCCGTTTTCGAGATCTAAGAGGGGGATCTAAGGATCTAAGGCGAGATCTTAGGGCGAGGGCGAAGGTGGCGATCATCCCCCACCCCCGCATATGCCGGGTCCCAGTCATATTTGAAAGAAAGAGTCTGCGGCCTTGCAGATGCTGAGTTTCGCTTTGAGAGAATGACGCGCATCCAACTGTAGACCGGTAAAATTCACTACAGTGTACAGGAATCTCGTATCAGCGGCTGTGTTCCGCGTGCAGTCGTCGATGCCTTCCCTTCCCGCGTCTCGCGGCAGGCCCTGCTCTGCGGCTGCCTCCGTTCTCCGCCGTCCGACACAGCACACAGACAGACTGACGTGTCCCGGTGTATTACATGTCCGTCACAGTCAGCGTCCGTCTACTTCTTGTTGGGCTGGGGCTTGTTGTCCTGGCGCTGGAAGCGCGGCGGCGGCGTGCGGTCCTTGCGGTCGCGCCGCGACCGGTTCCGCACCACCTTGGAGTGGATGGCGCACGAGACGCAGTAGTGCAGCTTGGCGTACAGCTTCGGCAGCACGTACGCTGAAACGGACAGACGAACGTCACCGAGGGAGCCCATGAACAAGATATCCAAACGTACAGTACCTGTTAGTTTGTATGCCTATATGGCCGACAGATTAAGAAACAGACAGACAGACTAGACAGACAAACAGATACACATGACAGACAGATAAGATATACACGCATAATACATACATGCATACATAGTACACACAGGAAGACCCAGCGTCAAAAATCATATTTTGGCTTAGATGTCTGGGTGGTGGGGGAGGGATAATCCTCCCTGCAAAGAGCCCTCAAAGTGGAAAATCGCGATTCAGAAGGACACGAAAAAGAGTGGAAAACCGGGATCGTCAATTTGCATACACATGCTCGACGAGGTGGGGGCTGCTTCATAAGATAACTGAAGGAAATATCAAGGTAGTCAAAAGCCAGCCAGCAAACATACACGCTGGGGTTCCTTGTTGGTAAAATTGAGTGAAAAAAATTGCTTTAGAAAATTGGGGATGGGAGTGAAATCATTTTATCTGGATGCCACTTCTCACTCAAACTGGCAATTTTGGGGATAATGTCGAGACTCCATGCAATGCTGTTCACACATGGTGCTGGTAAAATATCGCTGAAAAAACTTCTTCCAATTTCTCTGGACGACAAATGATGCCTGACCTTCCTCTTAATAACTCATATGGCGACGGCTGCAACCCCACTACCGTACTGAGAACTGCTGGTGGCAACATGTGCGGGCTTGACGGGGCGACACGCGGAGGTCCAGCGGTGCCGCACGGCAGTGTCCCAAAATTGAGTTTTGTCTTGGGTGTCAGAGGGGAAAATTACCCACCAAAAAGAGGGGAGAGAGTGGAAAACTGCTGATTCGATTAGATCCAAAAAGAGTGAGGAACGCCATAAAGCATGCATTTTATGCTAGGGTGTAGAATGCTTGATGCTAAACCGGGCATCCACACAACTGCTCTTTCTATAGGTAAACAATCTAGGTTTTCTTGGTTGGGAGTGGAAAATTGTTCTTAAAAGTTGGTGATGAGAGTGAAAAATGAATTTCATTTGGATGTCGTTTCCCACCCAAATCAACAAATTTTGGGACATTGCCGCACGGAATCGCCCGGCGTGTGCTGTCCCTGCGTTCGCCTGAGCCCGACACCAGAGTACAGAGTCGCGCCCAAATATGGCAGGGTGTACAACAATGTTGTGCAACGTGTCACGGAATCCACCAATGTAATGGTATTTCAACGCTCGCCCGTAATGGTGTTCTGGCAGCCGCGAACGTATAGGGCCGTTCGGTCCCTGATCGAGCCAGGGCTTCGCGGACGTGTTGCCCGTGACGAGAGGAAGCCAATGATACCCAATTTTAAGGTCCTAAGTCATTGGTGCACCTTTCAGGTCAGGTCAATGACCCACAAACCGGGAAAATCGGGACCTGTTAGAATTCGTAAAGTGGTTATTGAAGTTTTTTCGGGGTGCTCATCACGAATTTTATGTTAGTGTTTACCATTGACGATGCCTTCATGCGTTTAGGCCAGGTCGGGTCAGGTCAACCAGCGGACGTCCTGCCGCCTTTCCGTAATGTCAACCAACACTCACAGCTTCGCAACATGTTACGAAGGCACCAAAACTATATACTTCGCAAACGTTGGTGCTAAATTCGAAATCAGCTCCAATAGTAACGATCCTAGAACATGCATTTGGCGGTTTCTTGCGCGAGACATTCGCAAAAAGGGGGGTCCATCCTTAATGAGCGATGATTAAATGATTGTATCGGTACATGGTAGATCATTTGCGGGGGACAGTTTAACCCTCGCAATTATGTATAGGGGGTAGACGAACACCCACCCGTTTTTCGCGAATAACTCGCTCAAAAAGCGGCTGGTTGCTATGTTCAGTACCCTTGAGTTCATTAGTTTTACACCTACCCTGAAAATGTCATGACCCTGTCGCAAATGATCTTCGATCAGCGACCTATTTCTCGAGACCATGTTTGGCCGAAATCGCGATTCGGCGCATGTCAGCTCATTGTCCGCACGTTTGCAGTTTTTTTGTGGTTTCAAAAGTTCAGACATTTCAGATGATGTTGATCCCATGCAATGGTGGGTGTTGAGGTCACGTGAGGGTCAGGTCAGGTCAATGACCTTTGATGACATCGGTTCATTTTTGGAGTTTTAAGTGTCCCGGCTTGTTTTTGGAGCTGATTTCGATTTCAGCAATCATTTGAACATTTGCCGTTTACAAGGTAGTTTTGGTGCCTTCGAACATGTTACGAAACTGTCAGTGGCGGTTGACACCTATTATGAATACCCGGCAGGGCGCCTACTGGTTGACCTGACCTGACCCGACCTGGCCTAGATGCATGAAAGCATCATCGGTGATAAAAATAACTTGAAATTCATTATCAGCATCCCACGAAACCCCCCATAACAACCTCACTTAACGATGTTTTAACAGGTCCCGATTTTCCCGATTTTGGGGTCATTGACCTGACCTGGAAGGTCAACTAATAACCTAGGACCTTAAAATTGGGTATCGTCGGCTTCCTCTCGTCACGGACAGCACGCTCGTTTTTACCGCGAAGCTCTAGCCCAATCAGGGGCAAAACGGCAAAGGAGGGTCCAACGGACCCCCCATACGTTCACGACTGACAAAAAAAAAACTACACGGGCGGGGGATAAGGTACCGAAACAAGCCACAATGAACATAATCAGGTAGCATCAGGTGGAGATGGTGGAAAAATGAATTACAACATGCAATAACAGCACATGATCACAAGTTATCGATTGAAGATAACATTTTGACTTTTGAGTGATTGCATAGAGCAAATAAGCTGGAAAATTATTAGAGAATCAGTTAGAAAAAAAATGAAACCAAAACTATAGCAGTGGAAACTGGAAAAGAATACGGACTGGACACCCGTAGTTAGTGCAGAGGTAATATGTTCCTTACTCTGGTAGACGCAGGCCTCGTTGATGTCACGGACAGCGGCGGCCTCCACGATGTTACGGACGACAAACTTTTTGATGGCCTTGTCCTTGGGACAGCAGCGGGCGCAGTTGGTGCACCGGATGGGGTTCACGTGGCCGCGGCCGTGCTTGTTGCGTCCTCCATTGCGGCGCTTGGTCGTCTGAAAAACAAAAACAAAGACATTCATTGCATGTGGATGCCACATCTCACATTTATTTCTGGATGCTTTGGTTTGAATACTCAGCAAAAAAAAAGAAGTTATTTTCAAAGCCTGAGCCTAAAGGGGCCCTGACACTTGCACGATTTTGTGGCACGCATTGGCACGAATCGAATCGTGCCCGTGCGCAAACTAGTCGTGAACTGACGTGAAGTGTGCGTTAACTCGTCGTGACTTCGTGCCATGTCGGGGCAAAAACTTTGAAATGTTCAAAGTTTTGGTCACGACAAAATTTCGCAACCGGATCGTGAACTATGCGCAAACTGTTCGTGAAATCGTCGTGAACTCGTCGGAATGGTGCGGGAAGTGCGTTAACTATGCGCAAACTATGCGAAAGGTATTCGTGAACTCGTCCTACCAGCCCGTGCCAATGTGTGGATCTCGGCTTGCTTCGCAGCGCGAAATTTGGGATTGTTTGGTGTTTTTCCCGAGTCGATTGGACGCCTAGATGGGAAGTAATGACCAAAAATGTATTTAACGGGTCATTTCAGGTCAAAGAAGTCAAACTAGGTCACACGGGCTCATGTTAGGTCACAGAGGTCAAATTAGGTCACACGGTGTCAGGTTAGGTCACAGAGGTCACCATGAGGTCACGATGGGTCACGCCAGGTCGCAGAGGTCAGCCAAGGTCACGATAGGTCAGTCCAGGTCAAACTGGTCACATTAGGCACGGTCAGGACATTTGTGTCACTGGAGGTCACGATGGGTCTTGCCAGGACACGGAGCTTATAGCCTTACATTAGTGAATGGGAGGTCCCATTTTTATATGGCATGCCCAAGTCGGCACAAATTGCGCAAACTTGTCGTGCCAATGCGTGAAGTTCGTAAACTATGCGCAAACTATGCGGAAAGTATGCGTGAACTCGTCGTACCAGTCCGTGCCAATGTGGACACTGATGGGCACGCATTCGTGAATTATTCGTGAAATCGTCGTGAACTGGTCGTGCACTAGTCGTGAACAGTGCGGGAGCCATCCCTATTCGTGCACGAAAATGGCACGGCTTGCCACGACAAAATCGTGACCAAAAGTCGTGCAAGTGTCAGGGCACCTTCACTCTTAAGGTGTCAACCTGCTCTTATATCAACCTTTCGAGGGGATCTAGAGTTACCAAGTAAGTTGATCAGTGTTCAGTTTTGAATAGTTGCAATGAGATGTCAAAACCTTAGTGCGTCTGCTCCAGTTGCAACCCCAACCTCCCTAACCTGATCTATCCTGTCTAAAAAAGTTCATTTCACCAATAAGAGCTTTTCCGTGCTCCAATCCAGCCCCCCTCTCATCACCACCATTCTCTCCTCTTCCTACCCCAAGGATTTAATTTTCTGGAGAAGCCTAAAGGATGCACAGGATCTGTACCCAGCACTGTCACTCCTTCCAAAAATCTGAATTTGGGTCGGATGACCTAGCTGTGCGCTGAGTTTGGGCTGCCACATTGCCTTGATGGGAGGAATTCAGCTTCTTGCAATCTATAATTTACAATAGCTTTTTCATGTGTAACAGTTATGAGAAAAAAATATCACCAATGTCCCAAATGTGTCAATTTCGGTGAGAAACAAATTTTGTTTTTAAAGAGCGAACCTTCTACAATCTTTTGGTATCCGGACACCAATCTCCAGAAATCTCCAGATTGCGTTCCAGCGACTCCCGGGCCCTGTTTCACCGCCCAATGCTGCGTGCACTGGAAGCTGAGGCACACCCCTGACGTCACTCAAATGACGTTGCATGCGATCTGTTGGCTTATGATGAATCGCGTTTGGAACAGAGGTCCTAAGGAACCAAGTACAGAGAACAGACATCTGAGTGTGAATGCTGCTAGCGTGCTGATGGTGCTGGCGCTGGGTGCTAGCGTTTTACGATGACGTCATAGCTCAGCGTCAGAGTGGAGTTTGTTGATATTGCCATGGAAACCCAACGCACCGACACGCGCAGCACTCTGCCGTGAAACACCGTCCAATAAGACTTCTGGTAGAGCCTCCAGTCAAGAATGTCTACTGGAGGTGCTAGAACAGGCCCCATATGTCAGCATTTTTTGCTGAAATTCTCACATTGACGAGTGACTGCCAAATTCTGCCGCTAAACAAATACTTTTCCAGCTTCACAAAATATTCAGCCATCCAAAGTCCATGTCACCATAGCTGTGACATTACAATGAAAGTGGAACAGGCCAGCAATTGTCATGAAATTCAACAAAAATTATAAAAAAAATGGTGCTCATATGCTCGACCTTTACTTTTCCGTCCACGCCGTAAAAACTTCGGTCGCAGACGATCTAGCACATGATTTAATAATTCTGTAACAACTGAATACCAGGTCTAAGCGGAATAAACCCCCAAAATGATAAATAATCGGTCACGTACCATGATTGCGACGCCTCCGGGTTGTAAGAGAAGTTCGGCGTTGCCTTTCACTCAAACAAAAATATATTTTGAGCCAAAGGAACCTGACCACTAAAAACCAAACTACGTTTCAAGTAACGTTTCAATAATGTTTGAGTTCAAATACAGCACTTATCACCTCCTTTGAAAATCCATTACCAGTGAATGTATAAAAATATAATAAACCAAAAAGGCGAGATCGCAAGTGAAAATCGTGCGCACCTTCTTTCTTTACATTAGCCGCGCTTCTATAAGGAATGTTCCAGGCTCCTAGCTCCGTCCCTGATGTTGGAAAAGATGCCAGTGGTGCTTTTAAAATTTACAAAATGATCGCATCTAACAATGCGAATAGCGCGGTATCGAAATTATCGCAGAACAAATGAGCTAGCGAGCCCCGTCAAAAGTGCAAAGTAGTCAGGCATATTGAGGGTCTAACCTTTACTGTGGTAGAGGGCGCCCTAAGCGAATAGCTTTATAGATGTCGCAGTGATTGTCGGAGTAGCTCACAGAATCAAATCTTTTTTTTTTTTTTGCTCGGTCGGCCAGTTCCCGAGCAGGGGCGGTTACTCCGGCAATTTTCGCCCGGGAGCAAGTGTTACGTTCAAGGGCTCCGCCACGGACTTTTTCGTTGGGGGGGGGGGGGGACGGTCTGATCTTCGCCCATCGCCCTAGTGTCTCCTTATCTTGAGACCAATAGTACAAGGTATAAGGTACGTACTTACTTACTCCCAATCAGCAGCAATGCATCACAATAAAGCCACGTCTACAACGTGAGCCATTTTTTACATATGAAATAGTATGGACATCTGAGAAACTCGGTGCCAGGGCATTTAGTGAATTTTATAATGCTTGTATCATCTAATAGATCGGTAAGCATCAAAGTCATTTTGAACTGCTTCAGCTTTTGGAGAACAATAAACTAGTCTTGTTTACTGATGCTACTCAGATCCAAAAGACAACCGAGCAGTGAATCAGTGTCATTTTTATGACAGATATTTGTTGAAGAAATGGCAAAAAACATGTTTGGCTACTAAATCATCCGAATGATAATTTGAATTGCGCTATTCAAACTTGCGCCAGCATTTTTGTTAATAAAAGCAAGGACACAATTGTGTTATAAATAAGGGCGTCAGCATCAGTATCAGTATCAACTATCAGTATTAGTGTACAATACAATACAAAATACAATACATCAGCATGGGGCGTCTTACCTATTGTAGGCTTTTTACACGATTTTCCCCCAAAACATAAGTTAATTTTACTTGATCTGGAGCCACATCAACATACCAATACCCTAATGCCACATAAATATTGCCTAAATGCAATGCCAATCAATGCAATGCCTATATACGGCCTTGATGCCAATTGCCATCTATCCTAAATGTCTCTACGGCGCCAACGGCGCCGGCACCAAGGTTATTCCTTTTCGTCCGAGCGCTACACGGGGTTGGGAAAAGTTTCGCATGGGGTGCCAATTGAAAGAAAATGTCACGTGACTGGCGTCCCAACCTTATCTATAAGAATCTTGCTCCTCTCAACCTAGGGTATCCCCAAATCCAGTTTTCTCATCGGTTTTAACCCGCGCACCGACGGGGGGGGGGGCGGATATCCGCCCCGCCCTGAGGTTTTTCGCAAATAGCGTGAAAACCGCGGTACGTAGCGCCGCGAAATTTGGTACGACTATTGTCTCACCAATTTTACACATGGTGTGCAAGTTTGAACCTCCTAACTTAGGGGCTGATGAACGAACAAATCGATCGCATCTTCAACATTTACAAGCTTAACCCGCGCCCTGATGGGGTCTGCCGAGCAACGCGGTCTGATGGGGGCCATTTTGCCCCCCCCCCTTCCTAAGATCTTGAGAACCACGCAACATAGCGACAAGCGGCAAACGGCGTTGGATAGCCCACGGGAAACTACCTTGTGACCCAATTTTATTGGCCTCGGTCTAACCGATGACGTCACAGGTCAGGTCAAAGGTCGAATTTTCACCGTTTTTACAGACATTTCAAGAAATGCGTTGTAAAATCGAGTAAAATGCATTTCATTACGGAGCGAGCGAAGCGAGCGTAGTCTTTCCTTAGATTAACGGAAATTTCTGAGTATGAGCGGCCGGCCGGCCGGCCGTGGTCACGCTTTTGCGAGGCTTATATCTCAGCAACCACTTGACCGATGTACACGCAGTAATTTTTGTAGGGTAGCTTCATTCCTTCTACCAAGTATTGGACTATTCCTGATGCATGTGGGTGACCCCTTATGCACGTGCCACGTGCAAAACGAAGCACTGGCGGTCGCAGCCGCTAGCAAAAGGGGGGGCCAAAGTCACACTCGCGGGACATAACATTTATCCGTCACCGGGGGGGGGGGGGTGATCGGCTAATTTTTTACGTCCACGAGGTGCCGCGCAGTTGGCATTACTTATGCTTCATCCATCTGATTCTTGCGTGAAATATTTAAGCTCAATTTAAGGCAAAATCACCAGTTCCATTTCCCGTCCCACGGTGCTTCCACCGGTCGGCCCACTGCGCCATGGCGACGGATCGGTGTAGCATAGGTATACTGGAAGGTCAGGCACGCGGATTCATGACCTTACCACTATAAAACAATTCGGAAAAGTACAGATACCTCTTGCTTTGAACAAGCATGTGAAACCCAGAGAGCATTTTCAGACTACATAGTCTTCCCCTATATGGGTAAATGTCATAGACATTTACCCATATACCTAGGTAACATACCTATAATAGTTGTGTAGCGGCGGGAGAGAGTAGGTACACCGACCTCTGGAGACCCCCCACAGGTTCCGAGCTTTCAAAATTGGCATCTGAGGGCCGCGCGCGACTCCTGCGGGGCTTCGCAACGGCTCTATTGAGGCTCACTCAACCTGCCTAGTCTTACTGCTAAAAAGACTGGCCCTGAGCCCTAAGGACTTCATCAGTCTCTGCCAGCCCCAGGACCCACACCGGCTCATGGGGTCCCGACGTCGAAATATGAGGGAATCTGCGCGAGACCATCAGGACGTAAAGTAATCTCGATCAGGACCAACGTAAGGCTGTGCCAGAGACTGCGTGAGCCCTCTGATCTTCAGAAACCCACCCATGTATGTTTTCACGTAGAGGCCAGTTTAGGGCCCTCAGAGACCAGTACAGGGCCTGCAAACTACAAAGGCCAGTAGTTTGAGACAATCAGTGACCGAGATGGGCTCTCAGAGGCTAATGTGGGTCATTACAGGCCAACATGGGCCCTCAGAGGTCAGCGTGGGGCCCTAAAAGACCGGCATGAGCCGTCGTTGGACCCCAGAGGCCAGCAGAGGGCCCTCAAAGGCCAAGATGGGCCCTCCTCAGAGGCCAATGCAGGCCCTTAGAGGCCGGCATCGGGTCTTCAGCAGCCAGTGCGGGGCCCTCATTGGCACCTAAAGGTTCGTCTTGGGACACCACAGACAGAAATAAGGCCACCAGAGACCGGTGTGAGGCCCTCAGACGCCGGTTGGGACCCCTGAGGCCGGTTAGGGGCCCTCATAGGCCAGATGTGGGGTCTCAGAGGTTGATGTAGGCTCTTAGCGGTCAATGTGGGCGCTTGACCGCCACTGAAGTTCCCTCAGAGGTCAGTGTAGGACGCTCAAAGACCGGTGTGGGAGCTATATTAATAGCTGGGCGTGGGTTTTTTGAGCCTCGTGACGATCGAATAATTGCCAGGGCCCCATACACCTATATGGGGGCCCATTGGTTGTTTGAGGGGGGGGGGGCAAATGATATGATGGCCCCCTTTATTGACCTTTGGGGGGGGGGCATGGCCCTGATGCCCCCCCCCCGCGACCGCCACTGTGTACACATTACACACATGCCTCTGAGATTACATACTAGCCCTGCAAACTCTATGCAGGCCCCGGAGTTCCCACGCTAATCCTTAAGAAACCAAGCCGGCATACGGCGTCACCACCTGGCTTCTGAGGTGCACAGCACCAACCCATGAGGTCTTACTTTAGTGTCTTAGAGCCAATCTCCTTTAGCAGGGCTCACCCACCACTCCCGAAGAGGGTCTCATTCCAGCCATTGCTGGGCCTAGGAGAGCCTCAAGTAAACCCACGCTGATATTCCATGATATAAGATCCGGCCATACTCGTGAACCGGTGCCAGCGACGTTGACCGCCAAATTGACAGAATGCGAAACTGAGCCCACTCATGAGTGAAATTTACGTCCTTTGATGGCGCAAGAAAGAAAATGAAACATACGAAAAGCTTTTCTAGGACTTTTGTTCGATCTGAAAGGTGGGGCCAAAAGATAGTATGGCCCCACCTTTCAGCACCAAAGGGGGGCCATGGCCCCCGTGCCCCCCCCCCCCCCCCTGGGACCGCCAGTGAAACGAAGAGGTGTCCGTTTTGTAATTGTTGCAATATCTCGGTAACTACTTGGCCGATTGCGCTGAAAGTTGGCATGTAGGTAGGCACCCACTAGGCACTGCATATCCATGTGCCAGAGTTGGTGCGCTGCTGCACGTGCGCACGTGCAGGGGTCGTTTCAAGATCTCGAGAACGGCTCGACCAATTACCCTCAAATTTGGTACACAGTTAGGGACCGGTTAGTAGGGTGCCGTGCACAAGTCAGTTGGGACCCATTTTGCACGTGCGCACGTGCAGGGTGCCGCTTCCAGATCTCGAGAACGGCTGGGCCGATTGTGCCCAAATTTGGCACATCACTAGAGACCGGTTAGTAGGGTACCATGCACAAGTCAGTTGGAGGTACCCCCTCGGAATTTCGCACGTGCAAGGCCCACCCTCTCGCTCGCTCCGTTAGTCGCCCCAAAAGGCGTTATACTGGTTGGAAATCATCGATGGGGAAATGTTCGTCAAACACATATTTTGCTATTTGAGGTCACTGATGCCAGGTCAGGTCACAGAGGTCAGATCACTGACGGAGGGTCACAAATTAAAAAAATCATGTGATGCATGTAGGAAAACGATAGCTTCTTCAAAATACATTAACCTTCCAGGCGGTGGGGGGGGGGGCATTTTTTTGCCCCCCCCCCTTTAGTTTTTTCAATATATCTCGAGAACCGCTGCGCCGATCGTCACCAAACTTTCAGTACCCTCCCGGGAGCAGCTAGCGTACATGGTGACCAAAAATTTTTCCAAAGGCTATGATAGGTTGGCCGCTAATGACGTCAGAGTGACGTCATTTTTGCCCTTTTCGACCTAAAAAAAGGTTTCGCGGGAAGAGCTGTCAGGCCTACAGCTTTAGAGATACAGAAAAATGTTTCAGACATAAAAGGTGAATTTAAAGGGCTACAAAACTGCTATTTCAGATTTTCTAATTTTTTGGATTTTGACCCCCAAAAATCAAAAAATAGATTTTTTGAATATAACAGCCAAAAATCCAAAAAGTTTTTTGAATTCCGAAAAAAACGGAATATATGTGATAGTCCCTACCTCAGTACCGCCTTCTATCTACATACCAAATTTGAGATCGATACCTCTTTTTTGGCCAAGTTATAGCGAAAAAAAACTGTTCAAAATTGATGACGTCAAATTTTCAAACTCATTTTTTGCAATTCTAGACCTCGTAGCGCAAAACAAAGACCACCATTAGACTCCCCGTGACGAGCTGCATCGAATCGATACCCATTTTATGCAAAAATATCAACTTTGAAATTTGACCTTTTTTGACCTGACCTTGACCTGACCTCCACCAGAAAATGGCCTAAACCGTACCTGATGGTCTTATAACCAACACCATTGAGTTGGAAATGAAAAACTGGCCATAAAACATGCATCGAACAACCTTAGTAAAGTTGGGTTCATGTGGTGACCCTCATGGTGACCTGACCTGTGACCTGACCTGGTATGACCAGTGACCTCTAATAGCAACAAATGTGCTAGACAACTGACGCCTTATCGCTGATTTTCGACAAAATGCGTTTTTACTCGGTGTTATAGCGCTTTCCCTAGAAGCCCCGTGAACGGTAAAACATTTTATCTTTGACCTGACCTGTGACGTCATCGGTGACCCGAGGTCAATGAAATTAGGTTTCCCTTGACAAATTTGACAGGGCTATCGAACGCCGTTTGAATTTTCCGGATCCGTCCAGTAGTTTCGGAGATACGGGGGAGGCAAAAAATGCCCCCCTCCCCCCCACCGCGCGGAAGGTGGCTGGTAGGACCACCGCCTGCCGGGTTAACCCGCGCCCCAGTGGCGGTCTCAGCCAACTTCGCCCTAGTGGGGGGGGGGGGGGCATATGTTACCACCCACCTCTAACTCAAAAACTAAGAGGGCTAGAAAGACGCGGTAAAAAGCAGTCGATAGCTCTCAATTTGCGTACGTTTGAAAGTATTTCGGTCATTTTTCATCTTGGAGCAATATTGGGGTCACTGGAGGTCATCAAAGGTCAAATTTTGCCAAATGTTATATTTTTCAGAAAACATGCATTTTATTTAGGTATCTCAGGAACTATGATAGCTAGAAAAACGCATGGAAGAGCAATCGATAGCTTATGAACTCTTCTTTCGATAAGGTTTTAATCAAAATTGACCTCAGGTCAACGATTTAGCCTCCAGAGGGCAAAAACTCCAAAAATAGCTGTTTTTACGAAAGGTGTTTTTTGACAATAACTTTTGACTACAAAAAGCCACGACATTTCTATTGCCAGAATCGTGTTCCTCTTGCCGAGACGCGTCGAATGAACTATAATTTGACCTTGAAAGGTCAACTTGAAAATTTGACCTCAGGTCAATGTCATGACCTGACCGGAAAAGGTCATGTTGCATATCAGTCGATGTGTCTCGGCAAGACAAACACAATGAGACCATACCCAGCGTTCTATCTGTTTCCAATCTCGAGTTATTGGCAAAAAACTGTTTGTAGCCTCAAATGACCTCGGATGACCTTTCTAGAGGCTATCAGCAAAAAAGACACCTTGGTCGTCACGGGCAGTCCAAATCATTGTGATAATGAAATATTTGGACTGTTTCTATGCGTACACACGGATCTAGAGGCATTTTCATTGTTCTCCATTGACTTATACCTAATGGTAATGTCACGCCACTGACCTGACCTTAGGTCACGGATATAAAAAATCCGAGATATACAAGTTGTAGGCGCTCATAACATCATGCAATCCACCAAGTTTAAAACCTTTCTGACAAACACTGCAGGCTGGGCATGATTGCGAACTTTTTTAGGCCTGGTCAGTTAACTTGACCTGGTGACCTGACCTGACATGACCTGGGGTCAAAAATTTCACACATTGTCCAAAATTGATGTACAAAAAGCTATGCCAAACGGCGCGGCGCTACGCGCCGCGGTTTTTTATTTATACGCAAAAAACGCGACAGGATGGTAACATATGCCCCCCCCCCCCACTGGGGCGAAGGTTAACCCGCGCGGGGCTGAGGTCTCCAGCCGAACGCGCGGGGCTGGGGGGAGGGGAGTAAATTTTACCCCCCCCCCCTGTTATCTCCCGAACTAATTGTCCGATTTGGAAAATTCAAACGCCAATCGAAAAATCTCATCACGAACAACTAAAAACATGTACTTGATTTAAAGTTTGAGGTCAAGGTCAAGGTCAGGTCAAGGGTACAAATTGCAAGTTTCTACAGTATCGGCCTTGCACCGTAGTTGCCGAAGAATGGAGTCATGGACTGAGACTGATTGCCCAAAACGTGTTCTTAGGCTACCAAGACAATATTCGTTGCATACAATATCATTCAGAGGTCAAGGTCAAGGTCAGGTCAGGTCAGGTCAGGTCACCAAAAACAAAATATAGAAAAGGACATGTGCGACACATGTTTTATGGGTCATTTTATTCATAGCATTCAATAGGCACACTCAATAGGTGATATGGACCACATCTGGATGAATTTTCAGGTCGAGGTCAGGTCAAGGTCAGGGCAAGTGAGGTCAAATTTTGAAGTTGGTTGTTAAGGCCTAAAAAGGTGTCTATCTGATGCAGTTTTTCACGGCGAATCGAATGGTGCTATTTTTGTTTCCGTACGAGGTCTAGAACTTCCATTTTTTTTTTCAAAAAATTTGTTTGACGTGACGTTATAAAATTTTGAATAACTTCCACATTTTTGAACCGATTCTTCTAAAAATTGGTATGTAGGTGCACATGGACCACTTCTCTGACATATATTCCGGTTTTTTAAGAAAAAAAAATTAGGCCAAAATCAAAAATTTTCAAAAAACCGAGATAGCCATTTGATCGACAAAGTAGAATCACTTTTTTGTTACGTCTTGATTCCCTCAAAAATGAAGATGTTAGCGGCGTTTGAAATTTTGCCGTTTTTGAGGCGAAAATGGCGAACATGACGTCACTAAAACGTAATTTTCTCAACAAATTTCCGAAGGATTTCGCTCAAATTTTCAGGGAACGTGTCAAATTGATGTAAAAAAAGGTACTGAATGTTTGGTGGCGCTGCGCGCCGCCGTTTTGATATATTGCAAAAATTCGCGAGGGGGTAAAATTATTATAATTTACCCCCCCCCCCCAGCCCCGCGCGGGTTCACTGCCCACCTCCGGCGTTGGGCGGCGTGGAGTGGTTCATACGGTGCAGGCGGTGCAGGTGTGATCGAGTATGAGGACTGACTGGTCCCGGAGATAAAAAGCTGAGAAATGTAGACACTGCCTGGACGGTTAGTAATGGTGCGTAGACATTGTTATTGTGTTTGTATAATGTGGGCCGGACTGCACTGTGGTCTGTGGTCCCATGAGGTCAGCGCTGCGGTTGTGCGGGGTGGTCTGTCCGCCACTGACCGCTATCTGCCGAGGGGCCACTTCCCGTCCCCCCCCCCCCGCCCAGTTCCGGTGGACTGGGGCTGACCGGATGCGCCTCCGTTTGCTTTCTTTCGGCGCACGATATACGCCGGCGGCGCGTCCGGTGGCGCCGATTCGCGGCACCCGGTACCCGGCGCCGGCCCCGGCCGTTCCACGAACCGCCACCGACGAAAGCGGCGCGTGGAGGTGCCGCTCCGTGACCCCGCACGGCCCACGGGGGGACGGATACGTCGGCTCTGTCCCGTCCACTCCTAACGGTGGCCAGACATATAATGTACCTACCGTGACTGATGCATATTGATGAAATCAGTGCTCAGGTTCAGAGGACACGCCGTATTTTCGCTGTCTTGTCGGTGCAGGAACATTGGACGTTCCCCAGGGTGCGGTCTTGCACCACCAAGGTACACTATGTGTGACGTCACATGCCCGTTAGCCAGCCGTTCGCGCGGTCGGTGACGTCACGGATCGCCTCACCGCCGACCAATGGCATCGCCGAACGATGACGAATCCGGCTATTTTTGGTCGGATTACATCACTTGTATAAAGCGCGCCAAGCGGCGGCCGGGTGAGTCAGAGGGGTATAGTGGCGCGCGGCGGACGGCGGTTGGAGCGCTCAGTGAACGTGGGAGGTGTGTATACCAGACACCGACGGAGCCAGCAGTCAGTCGCGCTCCGGACCGAGCCGAGGGAGGACGTGCGCAGCAGCAGCTACTTCTCAAACAACGCCACGATTGTGCTGCGGCCGGCTCGCCCTGCGATGGAAACCTCGCTGTATGGGGACCAGGACTACTCGGTCTACCACCCGCCCCAGATGGACGTGCAGCAGCTGAAGAAGCGCATGACGCTCGACCTGGCCGACGCGCGGCCCGGGAAGCGCCAGCGCACCGACCCGCTGCTCACCTCGCCCGACGTCAATATGCTGAAGCTGGCCTCGCCCGAGCTGGAGCGGTTCATCACGCAGCACGGCCTGGCCACCACGCCGACACCGGGTAACGCGGCGCTGAGCAGCGTGTTCACCAGCATCGCGCGCCCGCCCACCGAGGAGCAGGAGAACTACGCGCGCGGCTTCGTGGACGCGCTGCACCACCTGAAGCAGCAGGAGCAGCTGGACGCCGGGCAGTACGGCGCCGACGCCTCGCCCGTCTACACCACGCTGGAGTCGAGTCACGGGGCGGCGGCGGCGGCGGCGGTGAGCACGGCGCCGTGCTCGCTGCCCGGCCAGTACTACGGCCTGCCGGCCGGCGTGCAGATCAAGGAGGAGCCCCAGACGGTGCCGTCCGTGTCGTCGCACGCCTCCAGCAGCCCGCAGCCGCCCAGCCCCGTCGACATGGCCGAGCAGGAGCGCATCAAACTCGAGCGCAAGAGGCTGCGCAACCGGATAGCCGCCACCAAGTGCCGCAAGAGGAAGCTGGAGCGGATCGCGCGGCTCGAGGAGCGCGTGCGTCAGATCAAGAGTGAGAACAGCGAGCTGGCGGCGGTGGCCGGCCGGCTGCGCGAGCAGGTGATGGCGCTGAAGAAGGAGGTGCAGCAGCACACGCAGAACGGCTGCCAGATCCTGCAGCCGCACTGACGACGTCGCCGCCGCGGACGGAGAGGGCGCCGCCCGCCTCGCCTGTGATAGGCCGCGAGTGATTGCCGCGCTGTGATCGGCTCGTCCCGCGCCAGCCAGCCGTGCCTCCTCTAAGGACGACAGAGACCGCGAACCGCTAGTCATGTGTGCTGCGTGCCAGACCTGTGCCGCTGTGCGTGCGCCTGTGCGATCATCATTCCATGCTTGCGTGGCCGGCCGGCCTGCAGCGCCGGCCGTGCCTCTGTAACTGTCGCCGCCTCATCGAGAAGCTGTTGTCGTTGCCCGTTGGGGAGAGCACGTCCCAGTCCGAGCCGCTCGTCGGTGTCCGCCACACCGTGCCTGGCTGGCAACAGCGGCCGTCCGACCGACCGACGATGGTTCCTGGAACCCGCGAGTCGGCCGGCCGGCGGCCAACTTCGCCACGGGCCCGGGCCAGCGAGCGGGCGGCCGGCCGACTCTAGTCTTTGTTTTGTGACGACTGGACGGAGCTCGCGGGGATGTCACCAAAGCAGCGACTGGCCGCTGGATGATCGTACAACGCAATGATGCCTTAGCTATTGATCTAAGAGAGTGAATTTTGGTGCGTTCATGTTTGCTTGTTTACCGTCGTAGGTAAGTTAAAGTTTTATGATTTTGTCCGGCGTCACGTACGGGCGCTATCGTCGAGTGTTTTGTTTGAACCGTGATATTGATGTGCCCGAGTTTTGGGGGCGACATATGCTTCCACGGTTTTGTATGTCTTTTGATGAACATGTACGATATACAGAAAGTTATAAATGACGACGTTGTTTACTGGATTCTGATCGGGAGGAAGACGAATGAGAAACACGGCGACAAGAACAATATGATGGGCTGTTTTTGACATGCAGGAGAGGGAGAGATTGCATCAGCAAACCGTTCCGCCTATTCGGATTAGTGCTTTGCCGTCTGATCGAAGGCAGTAGGACATAAATAACAACTACACAACAATACACAATACACATACAATTGAAGACGTTATGCATCGTGAAAACTCGGCCCATGTTTGGGGTAGGTGTGACTTTTGACAGCATAGATGATTTTGAGACGAATGCTGCACGGTGCCCGGCGTGATATTGACGGGTGGGATGCCGGCAGCTCGGTCCTGTCAGCCGACAAGACTCGCCGAGTCGCACGATCCGATACAACATCGAAGGCAGGTCGCAGAGTGACCAGCGTCAGCTTAGCTACTTCAGGTGGTAGAGTACTAAATGCGGCTGCCATATGACATAGACTAACACTCAGCCATACATACATAGGTAGGTCAGGGTGTAATAAGTAAATATGGCTTGACTCCACAAGAAATCGTTCGGCTCGGAGCTTTCGAATTGTATTTAAAAAAAACTTCGTCGGCGAGTCTTAATCGGGGAGGGGGAGGGGGGGAGAATCGGTCGCAAAATTGAGGGCAGTTAATCGGTCAGAGCTCATACAGAGGTCATACGGAGGTCTATGGCTCAGCTTTATATTTTCACTCAATGTCTTTTCAGTCATTGGTATCCGTTATGATTTTCATTGCCCATAGCTGAAGCCCATAGCCTAGCGATAACCAATAGTAAGTGGCTATTTGCATACATTTTACATATTATTAAGCCCGGCAGCTGTTGCTCTGCTCTCCACGCTGCGGGCGAAGAAGGAGACCGTATAGCCGGATGTTATCGAAGGAGGGCCGGTCGGCCGATCCGCCCGGGCCGCCGCGCCGGCTGCAGCACCCTCCGGGAGACGGACGGACGGACGTCGCGCGATTGTCTGTGACGCAATGGTGTGTCTAGTTGCTCTGCTCGGAGCAGCCTGCACAGCCTGCAGGGCGCTGCGGCAGCCTCCCCGCCGTCACTCGGCGGGGAGGCCTATTCACGGGGGCGCAGAGCAAATAAACTCAGTGGCGCACTCTGCACGCATGATGACAACACTGGAATGAACACACCGACAACGCGCAGTGGTTAATGTATGCGGGTGTTCGTCAGACTACTGCAGGGCGGGAGCTGCTGAGGTCACCGTCTGCGTCTGGCTCAGAATGTGTGGAGTCTCTCTACCGTCTTCTGATTAGGTGTAATCAGAGATAATTGAAAACATGGCGATGATGGTGTATGCTGTCAACCACAACAATTTCTGAAGGCACGACAGCGTACCTACTGACTACTGGGAGTCTTCTGGCACTCCAGAGTCTTCTGTATATCCCTATAGATGATACCTGATAGCCCTTATTTTTAGTCATAGTTAAGGAAGTGCCTTACACTACATCGGTTTTCAGTCATCAACTAACCCGTCAACTAACCCGATCATAAATTCCCTTTGAACAGCACCAGACGTTCTGAAGGAGGATAAATCGACCCTTCAGTTCCCGCCACTCCCTAGCAATTGTCATCCAATGAAGAAAAACATTCAATTGACCCCTTCGCTCTAATAGGTTACCGATGGTAGAACTTGCAGGTCACTTTCAAAATCCTTGCCGTTTACTTTTTTAATCACATCGTTATCTCTTGATGCATCTTATTAATTTCATCACACCTATTTTTCAGAGACGATCACTGAATTCAAACCATTTCCCAAACCGTGTTCAGGTCCCAGAGCTTCAGGCCGGGACCCGGGTCTCGCCCTCGCGTCCAGCTCTCCCAGGGACCTGGACCCGGCACTGGCCCTCCGTCCCAGCCCCGGCACACTGCACTGTCCGCCCTCGGCCAGCGAGGCCCGCGACCCTGGCACGGTTTCTGCAGCTCGCCGCGCCGCAGCTCGCCCTGCCTTTGTGGGCACGCGTCACCGCTCCCCACCGGTACTGTGGGGGGGGGGGGGGGACAGGGGGGCGGCCAGTTCCGGCCCAAACTGGGGCGACTCCACTGACGACCAAACTTCGCCGCAGACAGCCAACCGACAACGCCGCGCGCTGTGACGCCCTCCGGGAAACCTTTTAAAGACACGCCTGCGAAAAGCTCAAACTACATCAGTCTATGGAAACCACTAAACCTCCTTCCGTTGAGCTTTTGCTCCTTGAATTAGGCGGTTTTACTTTTGTGTGTGAGTCTGAGTGTGAGTGGGAAGGATCGATCAGCCGTGACGATTTGTAAATATAGCTATGTAGCATGCTAAGTTTGTAATTGTACTTACATAACTCGTATCCTATAAAATAATACACAAACGGCGACTTCACCCCATTCGTTACCTGGCCCCTTCGGCCTTTGCTTTGTAAGTATTCCTAGGTAATATTCCCACCTTATTTCACAATTGCACTAGAAGCATTCGCAAATTTTGTCTTCTTTTAAATTTTGAAAGCTACATTTTCTTGACTGCGGATTTATTGCTATAGCAATAAATCCGCAGTCAAGAAAATTTTTTGTACGCTTCAAAAAACACCCCTTTTAGGTGTCATTATTTTTTTCAGTGTAAGCGATTCGCCATGAAATTATGAATTACCACATATTTTGAAACCGAGCTAGACAACACAATAGTTTCTAACTGCTGTGTAACCTAATTTGAGACTAGAAAACAATAAACTAAGCCCCTTGACCTTGCGTTTGATCACCGTATTCTATTTACATGACTGTAGCAGTGCCAAAGCAACAGGCGATTCCATTTAACCAGTTCTACACGCGGCAGACGAGCTGCTTTGTGAAAAAAATTACACTGTGGGTAGCGGACACAAATAATAGAACAAAGCGATTGACATGTTAATTGGCGAGAACAATGGCGCAAGGTCGTCCCCGCCAGGTGCCCAGAAATGAGGAAAGAAGAATCAGTGTTTTGTTCGCCTTTTGTTTGGTAGGTACCGGCCGGAAACCCGCGGCCAGTTCCAGATCAGGTGCTGACATTGCACGCCACTGATCAAAGTCGGCGAGCTCAGGTGGTTTAGTCACTACATAGGTGAAACTCGGCAGACGACACATCAGTCGGCCTCTAATGATGTTGTCCATGATGCCGTCATATTTTCGTCACAAGCTGCTGATCACTCAAAGAAGCCAAGTGGCGCTGTCCTTGCGATAATTATTAATTGCTTACGCTATCGCCAGACAGTAAGCCGGCCCCACTAAGCATGGGCTGCGCAGTGCGCACCGAATAACTGCATGCTTGGCAGCGCATATGCTTTTTCAGTGAGGACGGCCAAAGCCAAGGACATTTTCCAGAAGTCAACCTGAAGAGTTAAACATCAGTACCATACTAAGAGTGCACCACAAAAAGACATTTTACAAAACACCAGCATATACGTCTCTGAGTATAGCTAACTACCTAGGTATTTACGAGTCGTATGGGCTATTAGCCGTTTTCACGACGGGCTAGCCGGCGAATGCATCTAATTTGACCAAATCTGCACCTAATCTCTTTTACAGCAAATGTCTTCATTTTATGAACTTATTTCAGTGTTCTAATCGATGATACTCTCTGATAATATGACAAAGCAGGCATATAAACAATTATTGCAAACCTAACTGATGGCTACTAAGAGATACACTGAACCTAATTTGACCAAATCTGCACATAATAGCTGTTTTCACGACGGCCATCTGGTACACATTTGGTGCACATTTGGTGCAGATTAGGTGCAGATTTGGTCAAATTAGGTTCAGTGTGTCTCTTAGCAGCTATCAGCTAGGGCTGCACTAATTGCTTATATCCCTGCTTTGTCATATTATTAGAGAGTATCATCGATTAAAACACTACCTAAATTCATAAAATAAAGGTATTTGCTGTAAAAGAGATTAGGTGCAGATTTGGTCAAATTAGGTGCACTCGCCGGATGGCCCGTCGTAAAAACGGCTATTATCGAGCAGGGAAGGGTTCATGTTTTATATAAAAATAATTCACACAACAGTTTTTTCACATTCATCTTTCCTAGGCTGACGAAGGAAACATATGCACTGTTTCCGATATCTACCAACAAAAACTTCAAGTTGGTGTTAGCGATTTTATATCGAGCAGTATTCGTATCTCTTCCATCCAATGCAAGTTACGTAAAACACATTTGTGCAAAGGTTAAATTGCAATTCTTATATAACGCAAGGCACCTGTGGCTGTCGGGGTACAAAGGTTACATTATGCAGTTAACTGTAGCAGCCATTTGCCTCTGCCATCCAGAACCCTCTCGTAGCACTCACAGGTTTTTCTCTATCTGTTTGCCCTCCTCGGGATTGCTTGTCACATGTATATCAGTTTAAAGGGACCCTCCCACCTTAACATTAGTTTTAAGTTGAGATAGCCAAGTTTGCGGCCAGGCTCAGAAACCACCATTTATCCTGGTCGCAACCCCCGCAGCTTTATGGTGTTCAAGAAATTTCTTCCTTTTACTTGCAGGGTGGGACCAGCGTGGTCCCTATCTCTTAACCATTACGGGAATCTGATGACGTCATCAGGCTTTCGAACGTCCGTTAAATGTTTGACTAAAACGTTTTGTAGCACGCGGTGGAATATGCTGCTTTGCGCGCAACAAATGCCGCACTTTCAAATAAAGTCGCTAGGAACAGCGGAGATCCCAAAAAGTAAACAAAAGTAAAAGTCTAATATCTTGAAAACCGGTGAATATTTTTCGATGAAATTTGGTAGATATTCGTTTTTGCTCTTTCTGAACCGAGCGACATCACTTTCATGCCAATTCATTAACTTTTTTGAAGGTGGGAGGGTCCCTTTAAGCTTGTGGAACAATCACGCTGTTATCCTCGTCGCTCTTCTTGAAGCACGCATCCATTCACATTTGTAACTTACCCAAACAGATTTCAGTAGCAGAGTCTCTGGCCCTGCCGGGCCGGTGCAGAACGGCGCCCCGCAGCCCGCCCGTGCTG